GTCACATGACCCTTTTTGCCACACTCTTAGCGTTTACTACTGGGGCACACCATGGCATGAAAACATTGTAGAAAAGTCAGTACATTTCTCTGGGGAAAAAAAGGAAGAAAATGCAGTATTTGCCTTTCTGTTTGTCATCGCCTAGTCTCCACTAATGCTATCTGTCCTTGTTTTGAGTGTTGTAGGTCAGTAGATTGATCGAAGAGTGACTGGACTCCAGACAGTTATAGAGCAAATTGAATTTGCTTTGTCTGATATGGGAGTACAAAACAACCTGTTCTCTTCACTGCTTAAATGTGGTTTAATACTGCAGAAATTTGTCAAAACGATTACTTTCTTCTCAATTCTCCTTTTAGTAATCTCACGTTGTCAGTTTCTGAAGAGATCTCAAATTCTACTCTATATGTTTCTGATAGTTGAAATGTCAGCAATATATAGCAGTGGTCCTCAACCAGGGTGCCGAGGCTCATTAGGGGACCTCAGAAAATTTCCAAGAGGGCTTCAAGATGACTTAAAATGATTACAAATTTTAAAAAGCATTTAAAATAAGCTAGAACAATTAAAAATCAAGTCATAGCCTAGTCTCAACTAACGCTATCTGTCCTAGTTTTGAGTGTTGTAGGTCAGTAGATTGATCGAAGAGTGACTGGACTCCAGACAGTTATAAAGCAAATTGAATTTACTTTGCTTTCTGATATGGGAGAACAAAACAAGGTGGCATTGGATCTATGATCTACGTAGGTTTACGATGCTTTTGGGAAAAGCATCGTAAGCCTACGTAGATCATATCCCCTGTTCTCTTCAAGGGGAGCTGTGAGGTGACAATTAGCTTTTAGGGTTTTATTCACCTTATTTATGGCTGCTTGTAACTATATGTATTAAAACTGTGACAACATGTATCTAAGGAAAATATTTATTCTGTGTATCAAAGGCATAATAATAATTATTTATTTTACATTAATAATAATGTGCATTAATTTCAAATGGTAAAAATTTAGCCATTCTTCACAAAATCACAAAAACATTCAAATGTTCTTCATAAACATTTATGTCCATTAGCAGCTGTTAACTGCCATGTTGTGGTGAATGTAGTCCTCTCCATCTGCCGATAATTCATCATGAAGAGCCCTGTGGCTGCAGGTCTGAATGGTCATCAGGGATCCCTCTCACTCCTTCTTCCCAAACCCCACACAGGCAGCTCGCTCGAGGGAGGTGTGGGGCGAAAACCACTTCTAATTTTCGAGGAGCACTGCTTCGGCTGTCTGATTGTACTTGTCTCTTGAGCATGAGTCTCACCATTACCTGGTTAGCCCAAGCAATGCCCAATGCAGGAAGCACCTTACTGCCCACCAGCCTGTGTATGATAAGTTATAAACGACTTACTATAGAGCTTCAGAAGCTCTAAATATGATTGGTCCAGTTTTGTAATTACACCAAACCTTCTGAAATGAGCGGAGCATAAAATGTAATCGGATCTTTCTAAATTCCCAAGTATAGAAAAGCACAATATGCTTAAGGCACTGTGAATATTTACTGGGATGTGTTCAATAAAAGACATGAAAGATAAGAGTTGATTATGTGTTGTTTGCTTAAGCACATCGTGTTTTTCTATACTTGGGAATTTGATGAAGATCAGATGACATTTTATTAATGCAGAAAACCAGCCAATTCTAATGGGTTTACATACTTTTTCTTGCCACTGTATATGGGCCGTTTTGCTGCTGGCTAAACTGACACAAACACACTCACCCATAGTCGCACCGTCCTGGATTTGGTCCGTCCACAACATCTGTAACCTGGAGCAGAGAAATAGCATAAGAACAATTTCTATGTTTTTAAATTCATAAGATAAGATCAATGGCGTTCGCAGAACATATTGTATAGTATTTCTGATTAGGTGTTAGAAATGAGATGCCAGTCTAACCTGGTTGACGCAGACTACAGGTGCACCATATTCATGACTCAGGCGGTGAAGTGTGTTGGAAAAGGCCAGCAGGTGGCGTGACCTCTGTACAGCCTCATCAGCCTGGAACTCACTGCGAAACAGAGCCGCCACAGAGTCCACCACCAGCAGTCTGACCAGCCCTCGCTTCAGCAGCACGGGCACACGCTGAGACACGCACGCCTGCAGAGCCTCCTGCTCACATATCAACCAGCATTAAGTGCTTTCTGATGGTTATTAACTGGTTATTATTATAAATGTTTGCCAGTCTCACCAGGTCAACTGCATGCTCAATGTAGATGTTGTCGCTAAAACGCTGACTGTGGATCAGAGCTGGTGGCAGATCTGGTCTGAGCCGGGGCTGCAGGGCAATGAGTTGCCTTAGTCGTTTGATAGGGAAAGAATCCTCAGTGCAAATATAAACAGCTCCTGTTAAAATACCATATAAAATGTGATTTAATACATCAGTTAAGCAGAAATTTGTCAAAATGATTTCTTTCTTCTCAACTCTCCTTCCACCCCAGTAATCTCACGTTCAGGGGCGCCATAACGGGGGTGGGGGGGGGGTGTTTGGGAGGAAGGCTAGGAAGATTCCAAGGGCCAGACGAGGGACAGGGTTCCGGAACGTGATTTTTACCGAGGGGCACCCCCACCCTGGAACACGATCGAGGAGGGGGGCCCGAGTCAATATGCTGTTCAGGGGGCCCAGAAACCCTAGCAGCGCCCCTGCTCACGTTGCCAGTTTCAGAAGAGATCTCAAACTCTACTCGATGCGTTTCTGATAGTCAGCAATATATAGCAGTGGTCCTCAATCAAGGGGCCAAGGCCCATTAGGGGACCACAGAAAACTTCTAAGGGGGCCTCAAGATGACTTAAAATGATTTAAAATTTTAAAAAGCATTAAAATAACATAAAACAATCAAAAATCAAGATATTTATTTAATTGACCTCCCTCAACTATCTTGGAAAACCTGGATAATTCAGGGCATTCTAAAAGTGTGAATTCAAGACCTGGATTTTTTTTTCTAGACATCATGGAAATGAATAAAATCTTAAATTGCTATAAAGTATTTATTTTATCAGGTAGAAATTGACTAAAAACAAATACTTATCTAGTAAATCATGAACAACTTGGTTGAAGTCGAAAAAGTTGAGAACCACTGCTCTATAATGGTTATATGCTTCAATTCCAGTAAGTTATTCAGGGGAAATTAAATTATTTCAAACAGTTCGTTTCTATTCTGTAACAAAGAAGAAAAAAAAGTATGACATATCGTGATCACTCTTCCAGATTCGGCCGTGACCGGTGTACCGAAACCTGACTCTGGAAAAGTCGCCTTACCTGAATTCAGCCCTCCGTTTTCCTGCGGGTACTGGACAGACAAGCAAAGCTGCAAACAGAACGCTCCGGTTACTATCGTAACCTCGGTTCCCTGAGCGCGGCGGGTCCGGAGCACGCGGGCCGGAAGGTCCGCGCAATGCCCGCAGTTGGACTCGTCCAGCGCCGCCTCGGCGTGGGCCAGGCCCAGGCGGGCGACGCAGTGGTCGTGTTGATCCGGCGGCTCTATTGGTCCCATGCAGATCTTGCAGATTGTTGCCATAGTGAATTCAACAGGTGAAGTAGAAGATTCTGACGTAATTGTCGCACGCACCGCATTTTATACTGCCTCTCGAGCTCATCAGTATTTGCATGCGATTTGCATACTTCGCGTCAATTGGCCAGTCATTTGGACTGGCGGGAGCCAATAGGACTTCAGGAAAGGTTGGAAGGGAAGGAGTTCCCATAACGGAGAAATATCTCCGTGATGTCTCGTGAAAGCTCGAGAGGGAACTGAGTTTTTCCAGCAGCACTCTCGCCTGCCAGCTCTGTTATTCCTCGTAACGGGAGACCACCACGCATCAGACCGTCCAGAATGCGGCAGGAAAAAGAGAGCCTGTTTCCGGCCTCCAAAACAGGACATTCTCCACGGATCAGCTGTAAAGCTGCGAATATATTAAAACAATAGTTTTGCTTAAAAAATAGCTGATTCTGGTTGCAATCAACGAAGCCCACCTGTGACCGGCTTGGACTTGCGGACTGCAGCCGCTACAGCGCAATGCAGGCGCTGAACATCAGTCTTTGACAAGCGCGTCAGCCTCTGCAAATCTGGACCAGAGACACAGAGGATCTCCCTGGCTGACCTAAAATTGGCTGAACAATAAAATGACATTAAACAAGACGCGAATTCGACTTCAGTGTACTTAAGGTGGATTGATTGCTCGCCAACCTTTTTTAACAGCAGCAATAATCCTTGGATTCAGATCAAGCTGTTCCCACTCCATCGCCTCTCGTTAATCTCCATTTCAACAGTATAACGTTAATAAAATAACCTTTAATTGTTATTTTAACTCACTAAAACTATCTTCACACATTTTGAACTGCACAACATTTACTTCCCGGTCAGCAACTCTGCCAAAATCAAAGTCTTAAATTCAATCGATTACCGATTGTATTATTTTTAGCCTAGTGTTGTTTATATTTCAAGGACAGATAAGCGACTGCAAATATAACGAACAATACTTTATTTTATCAAGCCAATAAGAGAAAGAGTGCGATAGCATATCGGCTAAACAACACACTCCCTTCATATTATCGCGGGCTCGGTTTACACCTCTCGCCATTTCTAGCCACTGGGGGACCATAGGCAGGCTAGGGGAACTTATATTAATGTTAAAAAACCTCATAAAGTGAAATTTTCATGCCATGGGACCTTTAAGACCGCGGTCTGCCACCGGACCAGTGCATTATCAAAATGGGGGTGTCTTGAATGAAAGTGTTTAACTAAATCGAATAACTGGGATGATAAAAGATACATTTATCATTAATATTTCGTAAAAGATGTGTTCTGCCATAAAGGACACATATTAGTTAAATAAACTAAGCAAAAATAACTAAAAGAAGAACTGTGGCGTAGCGGCCACCCCTCTATATTCAGTTTTCAGAGCAGCCCGCAATGTTGTATCGCAGTTGGGTAGAAAGTCACAACAGTATTAATGTTGTTATGTGTCAAATGAAATATATGACCATAAAAAATGAATTTAGTCCTTTTAAACATGTTGCTCAGTGAAACCTGAGAATAAATAGGACTGGTGGACACTGGATAATGCTTGATAGTGTTTGATCTAAAGTCTTCATTTGACCGGTGAGTGGTTTGCTATTGAAGGCTAGCGTTAATGTCTTAAATTTATGCGCGTCTTTATGATATGAAATAAAGAATAAAAGGATAAAATGGGCTGTTTGTATTATGTTTACATTTGTATCACAGGTCTTATGCAAGCTAGCTTTTCATTTGGTAGCATATGTGCACAAAAATCAAAACATTAGCTTAGCAAGGTTTATAGACATTAGAAATATACACAATAGAGATCATTTTAATATAAAGATAATCCTAATATGTAAAACAAAAATGATACGTGAACGACAGTGAAAGTGGCTCAAGTAGGTGTTGTGTTGAAGAGTGAGCATTGTGTTCCGTGGCGAAGCGGACTGTCATGGAGATTTGTGATCTGGCGACCCGGGTTCAAATCCCGGTCTGGACGTGTTGTATAGTTTACTTTATCATTTACGAGTTTATTACAAGTTTCTGTATGATTTGATTAAGTATCTTATTGTAATATCTGAATAATAATAAACTGACGTTACCAAATAGATAATGTGTGTCTAGTCAAATGTTTCTTGTTCAGCAATGGTGCTCATGTTATCTTCCTCAGGTCTGAATCTTGCTGCCAGCATGAGTCGTCAGTGTAAGAGCTGTGGTGGAGCAGACATCGACACAGACCCAGCCCGGGGGAGTGCCGTCTGCACAGCCTGTGGGTCGGTTCTGGAGGATAATATCATCGTATCTGAGGTTCAGTTTGTGGAAAACAGTGGAGGGGTGTCTTCAGCTGTCGGCCAGTTCGTGTCCGCTGATGGTAAGAGCTGTTCACTTCAACCTAAACACAGTTGGGACCAGCATCATTCACCTTTTGAGGGGCACCAGTGGCAACGGCAATGTTTTTAAAGCTTTTTTTTGTTTCTAGCCAGTTTAACTGATGTTAGATATTCCTCGATTTCTTTCAAAATGCAAAAAAAAGAGAGGTCTAGAATTGAAATATGTGAATCTGTGAATGTGGAATTTGGCAAGCAACAGGGTCAGATTTATTACGTAAAAATTATATTTTTCAGATTGATCATAATCAGCAGAGGCCAGTACCACATCATTCTAATACATTGCACACTCATTATCAATTTCACTTCAAATAATTTCTGAAAGAGTTTTTTATTAAATGGAGAAACCCCCCCAAATCAATCAATCAATCAATCAATCAGAATTATCACAAAAAGAGCAATTGGGGGAAAAAAAATAATCTTAAACTTATTCATGTAATAGTTTCCAGGTTAGCACCAGGTTAGTTCCAAGGTTGTAAATTATTTGGATAAATATTATTTAGTAGTTCTTCGTATAAGTGTGAGATGAGATAGCATTTTGGTTTAGCATGCATTTGGACTTAATCAGATCTTAACAGTTTTTGTGTTGTTGTTGTTTTGTTAACCAAGAAAAATTACAACTTAATTTGACAGTTAGTGATCACAATGCATTTTATTTGCAAAAGCAGTATGCCAGGACTGGACAAATACAATACACCCTCAGATTGAATGGGCTTGATTTTTCCACCTGGGACTGTCATGTTATTTGTCAAATCTCATTGCACTTTCCTCATCATGACAAGAAACAGCCTCCATGGTCATCCTAGAAAAGAATGTGTGGTTTCAGTATTAGAATATGTAAACTTTTTTTAAAATTTGACATTGTAAACAAATTGCTTAAATTTACTGTTGTATCATGTTACTTAACCGTACATAATTTAGCAATGAAAAATTACCTGTTATTATTCCTTTATGAATGCTGGAACCGTAACGGCTTCTGCTACCAGGGAAGAACAGGGTCCCTCTCAATTTGTCATATGATGGTTTTACCGCTAAAAGCTTATGATCAGAAAGAAAATGCCCATCTTCAACTTCTTTTTGCTGTTGTGTATGCAAAAAAGCGAATTTCTTTGAATTATCGTCATCATCTTCATGCATGAAATTGTTGTGCTCGCCTACTACATTTAAAAGGCCTACTTTTTCCAATCCGTTGAATGGCTGAGCACTGCTTTCAGTGGCAAGTATGTAACTTTCCAAATGTTTTTGGCCCTGTTCACCTTCGCTTGCTTCAAGTTTTTTAGAAATAATATTTTCAGTGTAGAGAGAAGAATCTTTTGTAGACGGATTGTTAATCAACTCATTAAAATGATCAGGGGAGTGTTGAAAATCACCGTCAGGAGTGTAATGGTCCATGTATTCTTTCAGGAAAAGCTGGTCACTCACTTTATTGCTATTTGGATTGTAGTTTGTTGGATTACTGATGGCAATGAGAGAATATAAAATGGAAGGCAAGGTTTCATTCATGACGTGTGACGCATTTTTTGATCCTCTGTAGAAAGCCGAAGCAGAACTGTCGTCACCAATCATCACAGAATTGTCTTGATTTTGACCACTCCTTTTCATAGGAGTCTTCTGTGGGACGTCAACCAGGAAAGATCTGTAGTCTTTAAACAAGCCATCAAAAGAGTTCTGCTGCCCTGCAGGTGTCATAGATGGACCAGAACTGTGTTTGATAATCGATTGAGGGTTAAACTGCACACCAGATTGCTTGAAGAGTTGGGCATGTCTGTGTGGATAGGGAATATTGCTGGCGTGGTAACTGTGTTCTGATGTCTTCCTGCCTTGATTTGATGAGGGATCTGCACGGTGTGGAAGTCCTCTTTGCAGAAACTGTGTCTCCTCCGCATCTGTAGAACAGCAGCCTCTGCCAGGCTCATTAGGAAGGTCGTTTGGCCACGGTTTAGGGTCAAAAACAGAGGCTGCGTGAGAGTTGATAAGGTTTCCTTGTAGTCCTTGTAGGTTATGCAGAGATACAAAGAGAAAAAATAAATTAAAGCAATTCTTTTGATGAATTTTCCTGTAATAGAAAGTGTTAGTACTAACCTTTTACAACTGTAGTGTCTGTAATTTTGACTGTACCAAATCCAGGTCCTTCAAACAATCTGGATGTAAAAACCTTTTTAACAGAGTCAAGTGCATAGAAGCATCTCACAGTGAGCCTGAAATATTCAGAAGGGAAAAAAAAGGAGCTGATCAGAATTTTTTTTTGTTTTCAAAGATCAATCGTATTTAGCCTAATTCAATTTTCACGTATTTACTAGTTTCATATATTGACAAATACCTAAATTTTGATTCCCTTGTAATGGCTGATTCCTGGTCAATTATGACACCTCCATCAGAAATGACCTCGTTTTCATACACAATGTAGCCATCACCCAACTACACAAGGATGCAGATTACATATCCATCAGTGAATAGATATACACTACTGCTTAAAAGTTTTAGGCCAGTAAGTTTATTTTATTTTTATTAATACTTTTATTCAGCAAGGACACATTAAACGGATCAAAAGTGACAGTAAAGACATTTATTATTGCAAAATATTTCTATTTCAAATAAATGCGGTCCTATTAAACTTTCTATTCAAAGTATTCTGAAAAAAAAAAAAAAAGGCACATCAGCATGTCAATGATTTCTGAAGGATTATGTGGCACTCCGGACCGGACGAATACCTGCTGAAAATTACGCTTTGCCATCATAGGAATAAACTGAATTTGCCATCATAGGAATAAACTGAATTTTAAAATATATTCAAATATATGTACAGTGTTTAATACATTTATTGACTATAATTTGGCATCCGAAAAAAAAAAAAAAAAAAAGTTTTATTATTCTTCTGCCTTTCTTGTAAACCAGTAAATTTGAAAATTCATGGATAACAACAATAATCATATTTTAACATTACAAATACAACTGTGACAAAAGAGCTTACACATACTGGTGGATTAACCTTCACGGAATCGAAAAAAGATTTTGTAATCAGTCACCGATACTGTTAGTTTAGGGCAGCTGCGGCACAAACCTTACATTGGGTGGTGGTGGTCTAATAAATTTGTTAAGAACTGCAAATATAAAAAGGTTATTTTAAAATTATAACTTTTAAAAATTTCAAAATTTTTTTACTGTATTTTTGATCAAATAAATTCAGCCGCCTTGATGATCATAAGAGACTTCTTTTAAAAACATGTTTAAAAAAATCTTACCGAGCCCAGATTTTTGTGTCGGTTGTATATGACTAAGGTCAATTTATGCATTTACCATTAATCTAGTTCCACATGTATCCACACCAAAAGAAAACATGACCCTTGTCTCATCAGTTGCCTTGGGTCTGCATCTTCTGTCTAGAAGGGTTGTGCTGCTAGGTGGCACTGTTGGCCAGGTTTTTGTAGTAGTTGCCACCACGGTCATCATTCCATCTGTGGAACACACTAGAACAATAGAAATGATTGTTTATTAGTGGAGAGATAACATTTTAAAGCTTATAAACCTGTTAGCATTTTATGGTGTCTTGCCCGTTAGTTCTTCAGTCTGAAAGTAACAGTGCTTTGTTGTTCTCTTGTGAATCTCCAGAGTCTTCGAGTCTCTTATAAGAATTTCAAAAGTGCCAACAAAGTTTCTCAATGTGATGTCCTGGAAAAACAGAAACCTAAAATGTTAGGTTTAAAAGTATGTTCTAGGTTTAAAATAATTATTTTTGAAGAACTTACATTAATTATTCTTTTAAATTATTTGTATTATTTATTTTCATTTATATTAATAACAATTTTTTGATGCACAAAAGTAAATAACCCTATATACACTTCCATTTATAATGCATTTACGTTTTCTTTTCGCCAAAATTATTATACTAATGTTAAGAACAAAAGGAGATCTGAATCAAGACTGCCATGACATTATGAAAGTCAACATGTTATTTAAACGACAAATGTTTTTCTTTGCCTCATAAATGTAGCCCGATGTGAAGAGTGGGACCTCCAGAGTCATACTCTGACTGTCGTTTTTCAGTATGTATCCCTTCAGTCTAGATAAGTCAGATGTGAGAGCTTGATGCCCCACACAGACCTCCCAAAGTCCAGCTTGCTTCGGATGATTTATTCTGAATATTATGCTCTGTGCTGTACAGAAAGCAGTGACATCTGGAGGGACTGAATGAGAGGGAAACAAATACAACTTTTGTTGGTCACTTGCATGTTATGTAATTTAAGGTCATTAACTCTTTAAGACTTACAAGCATCATTAACATGTGCCACAACAGAGACATGGTGGAAAAATGTGTCATTTCGCTCGATGATATTTAGGGTGTAGTTCATTTCTGCAGAGTACTGGAGAAGTCCTTCACCCAAATACTGTCAATTAGAAATTAGATTTTATTTTTTAATAATATAAGTAATAAATATAGTACTGTGGGAATGATAGATAAAAGAAAAACCCTCACCATTCTGTTAACAGATTTATCTTCAAAAGGAACCTTAATGATGAAGCCATGGGACCCATTGATGTGGGGAATTTTTGTAATGAGGTAATGCTGTTGAATGGCATCTGTTACTGACAGATTGTTCTCATTCAGCTTGATTGCAATGAGCTCCACATCCGAAGCAAAACTACCAAGATATACAGTGAACACTTCTTCATGAGGCACAGTTTCTGTTAGAGGGCAAAAAATATAACACGACTAAAATAAATTTGCAATCATCTAGATCAAATAAACTAATTAATAATAATAATAATAATAATAATAATAAGTATTATTAATCATCACACATGACATTTTTAGTATTTTATAATAAGTATCATTTAGTTATGTCAATAAGCTGTTATTGGTTATCAGAAAAATAATCTGCATCAGTCATAAATCAATATCAGTCTATTGTATAATGGTATGATAATAATCTCACCATCTATAGCGAAAGGAATCCGAGGAACTAGTGGTGTCTCCATAACTCGTAGCTGGCGATGTCTGGTCTCTATTTCATTATCATCCATAAACACATGCGAATAGATGTGCTCATAGCACAGGAAAGCCTTGTAACTCTCTTTATAGACATTATTTTCGACTAAGCTCTGCAACAAACATGACAATTATTTATTTTCTTTCTTTTTCATAAATGCACAACACTAGTTATTGGTTTGTCCAGTACATACCATTATGTAACCTCCTGGTGCACCAAAAGGCACTGATACTTGCACCACCTGCCCATCTTCTCCAAGTACGTAACCCATGGCTTTCCTGGTGGCCTCGTCCAAGAGCCGAGCATCCACACCCAGCTCAATACTCCTGCTTACAAACCCAGGGAAGTCCTGCACCAGGGGGGTCATGACTTTGGGAGTTCTCCAGTGCAAAATCACTCCATCAAATGAGCTAGGGGCTGATAAATATGCAACACTGAGAGAAAAGTATGGCCTATGACAGCCTGAATTGTTAGTTACAATTAAGATATTATATGTACATTTAATTCAATAACAATCATTTCTATAATGTATCAGAAATTGAACATGGCCAATGAGTTACCTATCGTACATGCCGCAGACGTGTCAAGCATCACTACAGCCCATTTCTGCCTGAAAAACACTGTTGCATGAATCACCTCTACAGCAATGCGATCAATCTGAGGAAACAACAAGGCTGGTTTCAGCCTTCATGTTAAAATCATGGTGGAACCTGCACAATTAACATTTAAAGGGATAGTTCACAAAGACATTTAAAAAATCTTACCGAACCCAAACCTTTGAACGGTAGTATATGTACAAAACATACGGAGACATTTTTGAAAATATATTTTGTGTTCCACTGAAGAACTTCAGTCATACTGGTATAGAATGACTTAAGGGTGTGTAAATAATGACATAATTTTGATGTCAACTATCCCTTTTAGTTTCACCTGCCTCTGTGATTGTTGAATGTGTCTGATTGTAGGCAGAGCGAAAGACAACCCTGTTTGGAGTGGAATCCAGCATGTATCCCATTCGCCTGGCATCAGAGATAGACATCGCATCCAAGCTCTGCAAGTCCTGATTCAGGAACATTATCTGCCACTCGGAGATGGCAGATCTCTGGGCCTACAAGTGGAGATACAGAGCTGACAATAAGAAATTCAAATTCTTATAAGTTCACACATGCAATTAAAGGGTCAATAAATTTTTTTTTTTTTTTTTTAAAGTGTCAATATTTCTTACGAAAGCAAGAGCAGCCAGCCAGGGAGTGTTGCGTTTATCAGATCTGCAGGGTATATCTCTCGCCACCGTCACCTAGTTTAGAGAAAACCAGATATTGCTGACCAGCTTTAGTATTATTTATGTACAACTGTAGTATTTATTAATATTTTGAATTAGCTTTTATTTATATATTTTCAGTTTTCATTCTAATTTTAGTCATTTTCCTATGTGCTTATTTTTTAATACCCATGTTTACCTTTATTTCAGTTTTAATAATTTTAGTATTTTAACTAGAACTTTTTTTTTCAAATTTTCCTTTAAGTTTTTCATCCAATATATTTATATTTTATTCCAGCTTTATTTAAATTAACAGAAACCATTTTTAATAGCCCGAATCAGTTTTCTAAAGTGTTTTTGAAAAATCACATACCCTGCCTTTAACAATAGCAACACAGCTGCATACCACACAGGATTTACATTGCCTGCCTTGAACAGTCCTACCTCTATGTAGTTTTCTTCACAGAGGATCTCTTTTGAGGACCAGTCAACGGGCAGTGTGCAGTTCTCGGTGAGAGAGTATTTATTCTCTCTCCCAGTATGGTCAGTCAAAACAACATTCAGCTTGAAAAGGAAGTTGCTGTCATTCTACAAGACATCATACAACAGAAAACAATGTTCTCAAAAAGCCATAATCAAGACTCATAGATCTGATAGTTCTACAACTAAATCAATGCAGTTTTGTCTTTGGACTTTTTTCTTTCTTTTTTTTTTTAATGAAACTCTTGCCTTGTTTTCGGTGTGGCAGGAGAAATAGGAAGCTCTCAGAGATGCCCGGCCATTCAAGTTGTTCAATGTGTAGCCACACATGGATGCATGATCCTCACTAATGATATGCACTCCATTTTCAACTTACAAAATATGCACTGATATGAGAATTAAAATATAATGTGTGATCATTTGTGGTAGAGATTACTGTCAAGCCATAGCACCATACCTACAGCCTCAAATCTTGGGACATGGCCTGCAAAGCCCACATCAACAGACACCCAGAAATATCGATCGCGACATTCGGTCTCAATGGCACCTGCAGCATTAAAATTCATTACAGCGTTGGATTTAACAATGTACTATTATATGTTGAAATGTTGTTCATCACTATAAACAGACCTTGTAGATCAGTGGTAACATAACTTCCATTCACATCGCACAGTTGAAAGCACATGAAGAGAAGCCTGTGGTATATCAGTTCTGCGTGTCAGTTTTGTGATTCAATATGTTGTGTTACATCTTTGCATATTCATGTGTTGTAAATTGGTCACAGAAACTTACCCAAAGCAGAAGCTAACATCCATGATTTGACAAAAACACTAGCTAGAAAAATATATATAATTGAGCAATATGCTACTGAGAGGGAAGCCAATAGAGTTGTGGTTCATTTGTATCGTCCTGTCACTCTCCTCCGAGCTCCCCTGACTTGGTTATCAGTCTCAGGTGTGTCAATCAATCTCCATTTTGGTTGTTATAGTAACACTTGTGTAGAGACATGGCACCCGATAGGTGTCACTGGAGTAATCATATTCAGTTTAAGAACTGATAATGCTGTTTTTACACAGACATCCTCTGGAGTGCGCTAGAGCTGTATTTAAAGCCTTAAAATGTCGCTGGTAAATAATAGGCTTTTATTTGTACACCTGTTTATATACTATAAGCCAAAACTATTCCTATTCAATGTAATTGTCTGATTTCAGCTTGGCCTTCATCTTTAAAACAATAAATTGTATTTTTTGTTTCTTTTTTAGGTACTTCCAAAGCTCCGGTCTTGGGCAGTGGGTTCCACACAAGTCTGGGAAAAGAATCGCGAGCTCAGACACTCCAGAACGGTAGGCACACCTTTATATTAGTCAGCAGTGGAGTGTAGGTGCAGTCAGTGGATGATCAAGGTTTATAAAACATGCAGACTTAAAGAGACGGTTCACCCTAAATTGAAAGGTCTGTCATTATTTACTCACACTCATGCCGTTCTAAATCTGTATGACTTTCTTTCTTATTGTTAAGCACAAAAGGTGAATTTTTAAAGAATGTCCTGGCTACTCTCTTCTATATAATGAAAGTGAATGAAGCAAAAAACGAATAAAGGACCATAAATGTAAAATAAAAGTAGCTCTTGCATTATATTCTTTATCTTCTGGAACAAAGCCATATGATAGGCTATAATTTAAATTCGAATCAAATATAGTGCCATTAGATGCATCACATATAGTATTCTTGTGGATGCATATTCCTTTAATTTTATGTTTCAATAAATCATCTACATTCATTTCTGACCCAGTTACATCTCAAGTGCTAATTAAATTTACATCATTTGCATCTGCACTTTTCTGAAAAACACACAAGATGTAATTAATTGTTGATCTTTTTCATAGAGCTGCCTGATAAATGTCTTTGGGTTCCAGGTGTGTGTTGATTTAGCAAATATAAGGCATGGCATTGTGTAAATATGTACTTGGTAGATGAATCAGAGGGGCTGTGAGAGCAGTGAGTTTTGTGGCATTATATTATAAATTTCTCAATTACACCTGTCTGTCCTGGTGCGTTTTCTGAGCTTTAACTTTAACTGAGAGCAAAATACTTTGAGAATCAAGGTCAACAACTGTATAAACACATGATTCAATTTCAGACTCACAGAAGCTTATCATAACAGATCAAAAACTTTTTAAATGAGTGACACATAATAGTGCTTATGAGTATGTCTGGCAGGTAGTTTTAGTTTGAAAAGGTTCTGGTAAACCTTTCTGATTTATGAAAGTGTCTCTGTGGTCACAAACACAAGATTTCATTCATTAAATAAGGTGTCCCGTGTCCCGTGTCCCTGCAGTGTTGCGGCCGTTATGTAATTCTGCTGTCATTCAGAGAGGTCACCGCAGACCTGTCTGATAATCCAATGGCATGTGCAGCGTGAAAAATACTCTGGGATTAGACAGGTCTGGAGCATGTATCAGAGAGTTGGCACACAGTGCTTCCAAAATTGAAGGATTATGCTCTTAAAAGCTTTTTGAGTTATTTTTGGCCTTGGCCTGCCAACATGACACTTGACACTGCAGCTTCTGGGCTCTGCAGTTGGGGAACAAAAAGTCAAACATCCACTTTAACACGTGGTTCTGTCTATACCATTGGTAAAAAATAAAGCAATGCAAAAGTTTTCATACTTACTGATGCCAAGGACCCCCAAATGGGGTCCCCCAAGTGTGATTATAAAGACTGTGTGTTGTTTACAAATTAAATTCATTCCTAAACAGTATCTATAAGAGCAAAATAAGGCAAATAAATTATAAATAATTAAAAATTCTCTTTTTTTCCAAAAAATGTTTCCAAGGACCTCTTTGCCACACCCTGGGTATCATCGGTTTCCAGTTTGAGAATCACTGGGCTAAAAAAAATGTTTGATGCGTCTATGCATCTGCTAAACTCATTATCACATATTTGCGCATTTAGAGGACAGATTGATGAAAACAGTTGTTTCTTATAAACACATCTACATGTGGAGTTTCAAGCATAATGAATGACTGGAACATGCCAAACTCATCACATCTGTAGCCTTTCTGCCCAGCAAAACAACTTTGCATGCATGACATGGTGAAGCGGCCTAAATCATTCTCATTGTTTACAATGTGGGAAACCTTCACTGTCTGGGTGAACAAGGTCTTTTGCTAAATGATGTGTTAAGTAAACAGAAATCTGCCAGATAGCCCACTGGACTGTGGATTTGAATATGTTAAACACATTGTAGCCCGACGTGGGATTTCAGGGCAGACTAATTTATTCTGTGCATCCAATGAATTACAACTTGGCCTGTTTTGAGATCCTCTGTGAAGGAGTAAATGTATGAGCGACTGTGAAAGAAGGGAAAAGAGGGACGTGGCCTCATATGAGACGTAAAACAGCTGTCTTTCTGCCCGTTTTCACTTCCAGGCTCCATTAAAAGCCTGTCTAGCTGTGCACCGTTCTCATGACATCAGTGCTACTGGAAAACCAAACACCTGCGTGTGAAGTCATGCCTTGGTGCATGAGCGTGCATGTGTGGATCTGTGTATGTTTGCTCAATCTGATGCATATGTGTGTCCTGTCTCTAGGGAAACGACAGATACACAACCTCGGCAGCCAGCTGCAGCTGAACCAGCACTGCCTGGACACAGCCTTTAATTTCTTCAAGATGGTGGTGAGCAAGCACTTGACACGAGGGCGAAAGATGACACACGTCATAGCCGCCTGCCTCTACCTGGTCTGCAGGACGGAGGGAACGCCACGTATCCTTCTCACAATGATCCCTAGGGTGTGAAACTCAAGTTAAACACTTGGTAATCCATGGAGGAAAGTGTGCACAATCGAAATAAGGTTAGGCACATTATCCAAATTAGGTTACAGCAAACTTAGGAAAATAAGAGTAAATCTCAGGTCTTTAACAGCAAGAATCCTTTAGCTCAATCCTGTAGTCAAGGGTTCAATATATAAATAATGTTTATATACTCAATATATCAATATATAAAATGTGAACATTATATATACCATTATATATGTATTTGTGTGTGTAATAAAATGTTTTGGTTGCTGTTATAAGCAACTAAATGAATAAGCAAGATTTTTTTTGGTTAGCCAGTATCATCAGAAGTTGGACATGAACCAAACCAGCATAAACCAACGTTGACCAGCATAGAAATTCATGCTGGTCTAAGATAGTCTCTTTTATCAGTCCATACTTTCCCTAGGGAAAACCTGGTTTAGGGTCTGAAGAGACGTGTCAGGATGTGAAAACAATAGTGCTGCAATATGCTGTCAGAGAAGAAAGAGAGGAAGGGGAAGAGTGTTTACTGCACCTTTCGGAGTCTCAGAGGATGTTCCCTGGAGTAAATCATGGAAAACAGCCCAGATTTTCAGTCTCTGTCCCGGTTGTGTACAAAAGCTACTGAAGTGACACTTATTTGACCTAAGTCGAATTCCTTGTGAATACTGTTGTGAAAATGTGAAACTTTTTTGAGAGACCGAAGTAAAATTCTGAAGTGATAGTTGAGGGAAATATCACTCCCCTGTTCCACATTTTAGTTTTTTCCCCAACCTGTCATAATTCTGTTCTCAGATTATGTGTGTTTGAGACTCGCCACACCTGTGTTACAACACAGCACATCTGGATAGTGTTACAGCACTGCTTTCACTCTCTGTCTCACAAACAGACAGACTCTTACTCACACCGACAAGCACCATCCTATGTGTCTGTTTGGGTCACACCCAGATCTCCACTCTGCTTTTGTGTAGCGTCAGGCCTGACTGGGTACCTGGTGTGCCGTTTAGAGTTGCCAAAGGAGAATTGTTACCGGTCTCTGGGTGGGGCTCTTTCAGATGCATGCTAAGATACAGTACTTCACATTAAAGAGCAGACACGAAAATAAGTTGTCCAGTACTTTACAGACCGCCAAACCCATTCCAAATATTGTCCTATTTTTAAATGTGTACTGTTCGGCTTTGCCTCATCAAACATCCATGCATTTATCTCATGCATCGTTGTGATATATGATAAACAGAATTATTTGGACAACTGTATTATTTTTAGTGTTCAACTAAATGAAGTATTTTTACAAAGTATTTAAGTATTTTAAAATAATTCTTAACTAAAGTATTTACAGTATTACAAGTATTTTCTTGTTCATTGTAGCCATTTAGCAGTGTTTTAACTGTTTGGAGTGTTTCTAGCAGCCTCACATCTTGTTTAGACCGGTCCTTTAAGATGAAGATTACCTGTTGTTCTGCAAACATTGATTCAGTGAGCTTCACTGACCTGATCTGGCAATTGTTGGGTGGACAGGTCATGATTTTCAAATGCTCATCATCAGATTCTTGTTTTTTTTGTTTTGCTTAATGGTATATTAAATGCCCAGTTCTAAATAGAGGGATCCCTTCAAATGCATGCATCTTACAATGACGAGATCGCTGCATTCATGTGCTCAGTTTTATCAACTACAATGAACCTTTCATGCGACGGGAGTAGATCTAAATATAATGCTATAATCAACACTTTTCACGAACAGATAATCTCAACAGCTGTAATAGTAAAAACGTAGTAAAAGTTTTAGCGAGAACTCCACAAGTAATACTCATTGTTTATGTCAGCCAGTCATAGCAACGGGCGTTTCCATTGAAGTCTCACAGCAGACACGCCCACTCACCCTTCCAACAGAGCGTTCAAATCAGACGGCTAAAATCAGGGTAGAAATTAAATGCCCTTTTATTTCAAAATTCTGACAATTTTATATTATAAGTGCAACTCGGGAAACATTATGAAATAATAAAAAAATGCAGTTCATGACCTATTTAAAGAAATGTCCTAAAAATAAATTACATAAAGATATTTTTTAAATGTTTTGTATTACTATTTTTTTTTAGATGCTGCTATCAATATAATTTTGACCCCTGCAGTATATCTGCAGTTTTTGTCAATGGTTCATATCTGGTCTTGTATCATTTAAGAGATATCTTTCAATATCTCAATTTCAATATCACTGATGTCAGTCTTAATCACTTTAATTTGAAATAAGTATAAATACTCTCTGTCTTTCACAGCAGGCTGTAATTAAGGCCGTCAGACTCCTGATAAAGTGGGATTAGTTTGTCTTGTAGTGATGCTAATCTCTTTGCTAAAGGGGGCATTAGTCACCATGGAGACACGTGCCTCAGGTGTGTGTGTGCTGCTCAGGTGAGCAATAACAGATGGTCAGGGTGAATCTCTTGCAGAGATAAGGAGATACTGCATGCCGAAGCCTGTTGATGTAGAGATGATCAGTACTGAGCCGTCCAATGTTAAATTAATCACTCTGACCAGGATTGATTTAGGAGCAGGATTGACTTCTTATTGTTAGCTGTATAGTTAGACAAAGATGTTTAGATCTTTATCACACTTTCAACCCTTTTTTATGATATAATCTAGCTGTTTTGTATTCTTCTTCCCTTAACTGATGTGCAGACATGCTTCTGGACCTCAGTGATCTTTTACAGGTTGGATTTCTTTCATTTCAGTTCCTTTCATATTTTTTTTCTACAATACTTACTCTGAATAACATGGCGCAACTTAAGCGGCTGTGGCTAAGTTGCATGATCAATCTTGAAATAATCTTTTATACCGTCCATATGACCATATGAAAGAAATACTGTATGAGGTATTGCATATGACATAACAGGTAAGCAGATGCCAGTGTTGGGCAATAATGTCAGAAATTCTGTTATATTTCCAGCTTCAGTTCATCTCATATACTAGCATAGATTCTCTTCATTTATTAGGCCAAACTTGTTAACATTTCAGTGATTTACACAGATATAAATACAGGTAGTTGTGATTTATAAAATGTTGTAACTCTGAAATCTGATTGGATAATTAATGTACGAAGCTATTATACTCACACACTTAACGGCATATAGAATTAATTATGTATTATTTAATAAATCACTAAGACATTCAAGGCAGTGATTTTACAATAAGAGCATAAAACCTCTGCAATGCACATCTTTTAATGCCTTATTGCTGTATTACACAACAAGTAGGTGATATGAGGCTACATTTTGTTTGTGAAACAATACACAATATTGTCTTTATGACAGTATATACTCTATAGTTTTTATTAGTAGTTATTTTAGGGCCAGACATTTCTGTGCTTAAGCACTGGTGTAATGTTATTTTTACTCCCCAGCTGTCCACTGAGCTGGATCTGCTATAGAACAGACACTGGACGTTTGGGGCAGAGGCTCAAATATGCCATGAATCTTTAGCAAGTGTAGCCACACACAAATCTGACGAGAACACAATTTATCCTGCCTGGATGCCAGGCTAACTAGGGACCTAGTGCTCAAGTCATAACCCTCATCATTATTAGGGGGTGTCTGAAGTTTAGTGTGTGTGTGTGTGTGTGTGTGTGTATTTTGATTGCTTCCATTGTCCTCATTTGTAAGTCGCTTTGGATAAAAGCGTCTGCTAAATGACTAAATGTAAATGTGTGTATATATACATATATATATATATATATATATATATGAATAGACACACACTACCGTTCAAATATTTTGGGGCAAGATGTTATTGTTTTTTCTGTATTATTGTTTATGCCTTTGTGAGCATAAGAGGCCACTAACCGACTTTGTTTTAAAGACTAATTATGGAACATGTTTCATTGTGGAACATCCTCGTCTGAAGGATCAATTATCGTTAACATGGAAAATGTACCCATTGAATAATTCAGACCTTTCAGTTCTATTTCTTACTGTTGTAGGTTAATGTTTACATTCTGGGAAAGACCTTCCTACTGTTGGCTAGAGAGCTCTGCATCAACGCTCCAGCCGTCGGTAAGTCTCCCTGTAATGACCTCTCTATGACATCTCTAATGTAATTCAGCTGACCGGAACAGTGCTTTTGAATGAACCTCATTAATAAAGCAGGCAGCATCTCTCAAAACAATTCATTTGCTAAATTAGTTATCAATAATACACTGTGGCTGGATCAATACAAGTATACTCAATCTGTTCATCTGATTTGGCCTATGGATTCCTGGTTGCATCAGAAGGAAGATGATTTGCTGTTGTCGTACTCTCATCCACACGTTGAGCTAAATTTTCTGCAGTAGTCTGTAATTCAAGCTATTTCAGGCACAGGTTGAAATGTTTTACCCATCTGGAAATTATATTCATAGCAAGTTGCAGTCTAGCCGGATGTTACTAGGGGGCACTGCGTCATGTCAAAAAATCCATTACGGTCCATCATATTCACCGCAACCATTTTCCACCTTCTGTGCACACTGTGAGGACTGAACAGGTCTGCAGTCTTTTAAACAGACTCATCTAATCAGAGACAAAATGATTCAAGTATACACCAGGGAGCATCCCAATGTTAAAGTACTGGGCATAATCCAAGAATGCAGTCTGATTAGCAGCTCTCCATGTGTCATAATTCCACATTCATCTGTTTTTGTGTGGGGTTTTTTTTTTTGGTCAAAAATCTGCTGTTTTACCAAGCTGCATCTGCTCCATGTTTACTAAACCCTCAATTAGAATGCAAACGGTAGAGCAGCAGATTCTATGGGCTCAATTCAAACAGACTCCCTTTTGAGTTCCCGCTGGGTATAATAGGTTCTTTATGTGGCCTTTCAAGATGAATATTTCATCCACACTTAACAATCACTGTCTCATTTACACAAGCCCACTACTGTTGTGGTGTGTGGGTTCATTTTTTTGGATTTCAGTTTGAATATAATACATATCATTACATAGTTAATTTGCTCATATTACCTCATTCTAATTATTTTATTTTAAAATGTATACAAGTATATAGATTGTATATAGATCTAAAATATAGATTGAGTTCAACCTCCCTCGTTGCTGAAGTTGGGATTGAGTAGAATGGCATCATTATTTCATTCTTTGATGCATTTCATGAGTGTCTATTAGGGCTGCACAATTAATCGAATTTCTAATCGCAATTACAATTATGGATGCCACAATTACGTAATCGTTCAAAGCGGCAATTAATCGTTCAAAGTCCACTTATGTAATTCTGCATGCTTAAGATATGTTTTTTTCTTTCTACATGTTATCTTAAAGGCAGGGTATGTGATTTTTCAAAAACACAGAAGGATAGAGATGGCGGATAAAAAACAAAAGAGGAAAACGTCTGCGGAACGATAAGGCAAGAAGTAGGACCCATGTAAATATCGGATCAGCTTTCCAGCGCTGGAGAGAACTCAAGGAGCGGAGGCCTGCGATCGGACGCCGAGGTTCTTTGTTTCTTCTCAGTAGGTAAGTAACACCGTGTCTACAACAGCTAAAGTCTGCCTACACTGGACGCGATCAAACGACCGTTGAAAACCATTTGAAATTTGTGTCAGCATGTCATAAATAGAACCCGGCAGCAGTTTTCTGTCGGGGATTTGTTGCTCCGCGCCGCTCACGTCCGTAGACACGGTGTAACATTGGTTTTGCTTTGTTTCACAGAACTAATCGTTGCCTGGGTTGCGTACGTATATGTGGGGCGGAGCTATCAAAATAGGGGCAAGACCCTTTTGGGGTAGGGGCGTGTTTGTTTTGGTGATTTCAAATATCAACATTGGCTACCAGAAATCTCTTACTCTGCCTTTAAGGGTTTTTCCATTGTTTTAGTTTTAGTATGACATTATAATACCATTCATATTTTTACTTTTTTTATAATTTAAAGAAGAAACCAATCCGATGTA